GGAAAAGGAATTTCTTGAATTAGGCCAAACTGAAAACACTGAGAAAATCCCTAAGTCTCAAATACTTTCAGATTTCCTTACTCTAAATTTAAAGCACAAGAAGCAAGCTTCCAGCTACATTATTTGGTGGAATATTAGTATTCTGTCATGGGTGTTTTCACCATGGTAGGCAACTGATATGATAATGTTTTTATAGTCTACTGGTATAAATAAATATCAAGGGTATAGTAAAAAATAAGTGCTACAAGTTAAACTGAATGGCACTAGAACAGTTAAGTGAAGGAGAAGGAAAGAATAGCAGGGAGAACATAACCTGATAGCTGCAAAGGTATGAACTCTCACTTATTCATAGAGCATCAGGATGTTTTTGGCATAAATAGTTCTAACAGATACCCTCTTGAGAAGTTCTTCTTGGCTATTGTTATCCACCTCACAATGAAAAACTCTTCTGTCAGGGAATGAGAAGCCTGATCCAAAGTCCACTGGTGCCAGTGGGTTTTAGATCAGTCTGAAGGATCATGGTTCATGTATACCAACAAAAAATAAAAATACTGACACTAAATTATGAACCTGAGTCAGGCTCAGTGAAACAACTTTGATGTGGGGCTGGTGAATTAAATAATAGACAAGAAAGCTCTGTAACTTGTTGGAAAATTTTAAACTGCATGGATTTTCCACATGAATAACTTTCCCTTAAAATGGAGTTACTGAGATCTAGCTAAGAATGTATGCTTCAGAATACTAATGTCACTCACAGCATAAAGCAGGTATTGCTGTAGACAGCCATGAGGGGAAAATGACCTAAATACCACATATACGAGGTTTATTGTAAAGGATGAGATTTTTGAAAACTAACACCGTCAAAAGAAAATTGAAGTGGTGCGTTTTGGCCTCTACAGGGCCAAACCTTATTATATTGAAGTGAACTTCCAACATTTGAAATATTTTAGGTCCTGCCTACGATCTCACGACTTGTGAAGTTAGAAATACATCACTGGTTCTTCTGTGGAAAGCTCCTGTGTATGAAGGCAAAAGCCCTATTACTGGGTATTTAGTGGACTATAAGGAAGTAGATACAGAAGATTGGATCACTGCTAATGAGAAACCTACTTCAAAGCGCTATTTTAAGGTAATATTTTCATTAGTTAGTGTTCAAAACTGAGTTCTAAAGACATCTGATTAAGTACGACAAAGATGTGTATTTGAACTTGGGCTTCTGCTAACATCTTCATATAAGTAAACAAAAGAGTTTAGGCTGTTTTTAAATTGGTTTTGCTCTTCATCTTATTCAAGGTCACTGATTTACATGAGGGTCATACCTATGTTTTCAAAGTTCGTGCAGTGAATGATGCTGGGGTAGGCAAGTCATCTGAGATATCTGAACCAGTGCTTGTCAAGGCACGGCCAGGTAATAAACTGTTTTATCTCCTCTGCTTCTAAAATACTGAAATACTTAGAAGTGAATTTAATTAATCTGATTTGATATTGTAGCACAGATAAGTATTACAAGAGTTAAAGAGCTCTTAGGCTTAAAACTTAAAGAAAAAATCATGTGGATACAGAGGTACTGTCAAGAATTTTTGATTTACTTACTGCAGGAAATATTTGATCATCAGTTATTTTATTTTTTATTCTCATAAACAAAGATGCTACTTGCTGTGAGTGAAAAGAAGTATGACAACACATTTATTAAAGCTTCAAGACTGATAATAAAAATTTACTTAAATGGTTTCTATCTTCTCATATGCAGTTTCATTTTATAGATTTGTTTCTCAATAAACTTCTATTATTTTTAGTATTCCTTTTTTTGTGTAGAGTAAGAATCTTGCTAGTATGTGGTGCTGAGTTAGCATGTGACATAGACATGCTTAAACATCTGCAAGTAAGATCAGTATCTGTTAGTGAAGATGGACAAAACTTGCATGGGTTTAGTAATTTCTGAATTGCAGCTTGAAAGAAAAATGCAGCCTTGACATTTGAGTTTATTCCTATTTTGCAGGAACAAAAGAAATCTTTTCGGGTGTGGATGACGAGGGTAATATTTACCTGGCTTTTGAGTGCAAAGAGGCTACAGATGCATCTCATTTTGCATGGGGTAAATCATATGAGGAGATTGATGATTCTGATAAGTTTAAGACTGAAACAGAAGGAAGTCAGTAAGTCATGCCAGTCTATCAAATTATTAGAAGTTTGTCCTGTTAAAATTCTCAGTAACATGACAAACCCACTAATTATATCCTTCTTTATTCATGATTTTAGTTCTAAGCTGTACTTCAAAAATCCTGATAAATCAGACTTGGGAACTTATTCTGTCTCAGTTAGTGACACAGATGGGGTTTCATCCAGCTTCGTTATGGATGATGAAGGTAAGTTCCTTGCCATCTCAAGTCTTTCTTCATTTTATCACCGCAACTGCACTAAAAATTTTCCAAGAAAAAAAAGAACCCCACAACTCTTACATTCTTTCCTATGGATTAAGGAAAAACAAAAAGGACCACACAACAGGCTTTGTGTGATTACTTATTTTGCTGATTATCACAATAATGAAAGTTGGGATAACTTAAGGCAATATTTTCTTTAAAAAAAAGTTAAAGAATGTGCCCAATTAGAATTGTTTTCTTTATGCTGGGACTATGATTCTGTTTGCAAATATCTGTTACACTTTCAGTTAAATGTCTGAAAGTGTTGCTTTTCCCACTGTTTTGTGAATCTCTTTCTCTTTAGTATGTCACACTTGCTGTGCTTTGACTTTATAGCCTTTCACATCTTATAATAATTGATTCTGTGTTAGCTGTAAAGCTACGATCTGATCTCTGCTTATCAAGGAGCCTAATATAGAGACAGGCCTTGAGGCTCTAGATATAGTTTCATATAACTGAGATGCAGAGAATTAGTGAGAAGAGTGGAGAAAAAAAGATGTTGTTTTAATACAATCTGAAAACATTGGGTTAAATTGTCCTTTGGCTTAGATTTAGATTAGTTTTCTTTTATTTCATTGTAACCATTTTGTTTCATTGGAGTTGCAACGAATTTGCTGCAGTCTGACTTTGGTTTACCCTTGAGAGGTGCTGAGGTGAAAGGCAAAGGAGCGGGGTGGGACTTTGTTATTTTTAAATAGCACAAAAATTACTTTGGTGCTTTCCCAGTCCATAGGCTGTAATTGCTATGCCTAGTTCCTTAAGCATGAAAATCCCTCTGCTTACCTTCTTTCTAAGTCATTTCAGGAGAGGAGATGAGACTGAGTGTGAGTCTGACAGTAGGCAGGACTTTTATCACATTATGAACCATGTCAAACCTCCCATTCAAAGTAGGCGTTGAGAAGAAATCCATGCGTAGCAACAAAATACATGGTTCTGGAGAACATGGACCATTTTTGTGACTCTTAGTCATTACCAATACCTGCTTCTTCTAGGAAAGCTAAGTGTGTAATATTTTTAATTTTCCAGTGAATACTTACTATAGAAAAAGACAGATATGCATTTGATCATGAGAACTTCTCTTTGGCTTAGTTTTGAAGCATCGTTGAAACCTGTCTGTAGGTCTTGTCACCATCAGTCCTACCTTCAAAGGCTTTTTTGTAGAAGAGCACTGAAAGTTTTTCTCCATCCCACATTTAGCCCATGTATTCCCTGGTCATATCTGTCACTCGAAATTACACTTTTATTTGTACTGGATCCCTGCACAAGTGCCCGACTTTGTAGCTTAGCACTGAAAACCATTATTTCACTGCCCACTTACCTCCTAAAATACTATAAATTCTCCTGTAATTTTGCTACATCCTAAACCATGTCATAAATCCTTGCTAATTTCCTCTGGTCTTTATATTACCAGTAAATTTGGAATTGGCAGTAATGTTCATCTTCCAAATCTTTATTAGTAACTAATATGATAAATAGAGTTAGTATGAAAATCTAACAAAGTGATTTCTAGACTCTTGCGCAACCTTCGTGAGGATTTAGTGCATTAAATAGAACTTTCTGTACCTTTTTCAGACTAACCTGCACTCAATCTTGTTTCCTGCCACAGTAAAACCAGCTTTTCAGGTACAGTGTCAGAAAAGAAGTCAGCAGATGAAGGAACCTCATACACTGCTTAGAAGCCATTGTCTCCCGTCTTTCATTTAAATCCCATAGAGTGTTTCAAATAGGTTTCATCCCTTGTTTAGATTCTTTTGCGTAAGAGTGTGCATGAAAATGCATGAAATAGGAACACTCGCTAAATCCATGTATAAGAATTTTAAGTTTCTTAAATCTTATTTTTTAGTCATGATTTTCTGAAGGGATTTGGGTATTTCACATATAAGGCTTAAGAACACTATCTGCTCATGCTGACAAATACCTTCTTTGACACTTGTTTTCTGACAGTATTTTTCAGAATAAATTAAAACATAAGTATTTTTCTTAATTTCAGAGTTGGAACGTTTGATGGCATTAAGCAATGAAATAAAGAATCCAAGTAAGTTGAAGATCTGAATCTATTTGATACTTCTAGAAGAAATATAATTACATACTAATGACTGGAGCTCCAAAAAGGTTCTTCCTGAGACAACGGCAGTTTCATTTTTCACGGAACAGCTTGCTTCATTATCTTTCCATTCATTTAGAAGAATATTAGTTCTTATTGAATAAAATCATCATTGTCTAAAAGTCTTTTGAAGTTTAACTTTGACAATAGACTATAAGTACCTACTAGCCAATTCCTTAAACAATGTGCAAACTATAAGCTGTAAATTCTTTTCTCCTTTTGAGAAATTAATTTAAACATCAGCCAAAGACTGCATTAGATGCCTTTTCCCTGTATAAAATTTATTCTATATCCAGCATTCTGTAAATAATAGGGTGATACTAATATTTTACTACAATAGTCCTTTTTCTCACAAGGATTCATGCATTATTGACTTTTGATTGCTTTTCTTTCTGCAGCAATACCTCTGAAATCAGAATTAGCTTATGAGGTTCTTGAGAAAGGAGAAGTTCGTTTCTGGATTCAGGCTGAAAGCTTATCGCCAAATTCTACCTTCAGATTCGTTATTAATGATAAAGAAGTTGAAAACAGTGATGTAAGTACATATTGAGTACTATATATATGTGATTTTGTTTAATAAACCTTTATGCATTAATAGGTATTCTACTTTTATAGTTGCTTAAAACCATGTTATTAAGGTCTGATAATACCTGAAAGGAATACCAATCTTTTACTTGAATCTTTTTTGCAGTATGGAATTCCTGTTGCAGGGTGAGTCTATTCATACCAAAAACAGAGAGCAAAGTCTAACCCTCAGAAGTCCATATTCAGTTTGGGTAGCTAGATGACCAACAACCAAAGAGAAGGAATTACACAGAGACCAGTATTAAACACATCTGATTAAAAGTAGTGCACAACTATTTAAGGAAAATAGCTCAAGACAAAAAAGCTGCTTCAAGTACAGTTTTGGACTGCAAACCAGCAAGACATGCTGTTCCCAGAGACCCTCTGAGGCTACTGCTACTAGTTTTACATATAATGTGGGAGGCACCTGGCAATGCAACAATGGTCATAGATATAAAACTTTTAGATGGTGTCACTTGCTAATTTTTTTTTTTCTTTTAAATTTTGGTCAAGACACTAAATGGGCATTGAATGGCTACATGGTGATGAAAGGGCAGGCCACCAGCTTCCTGCATTTTTATAGCTCTATGAAGACCTTCCATAGAAAGGGACACAGAAAAGTGGAAGGGAGGTCATACCTTTGCAGGGCTGGAGTATGGTTCATTTACTGGGCATGAAGTACAGCACTGGAAATATCTTTTCCTGTGAGGAATCCACCTCCAGTGCAGCTGTTTGAAAGGTTCAGTTTATTCCTGTGGATGCAAAGCCTGGTTTTGGCCAGAGAAGCTTATCAGCATTTTTATACCATAGAAAAGCAAAAAGCATTTACTTTAATTACATATTGACAAGTGGAAGAAGAAGTGTTTCTGAGTAAAATATGTCTCTGTTTTTCTTACTTTAAGAAGTAATAAACTGTAGCACTGAAAACCTGAATATTAGTGACTAGGATGTATTGAAATGACAATATTCTGTCTTGGCAATGTTAGCGGAACAGAATGAGCTATTTTTAGTTCACATATGTTTTGGAAGTGTTGACATCAGAGAGTCTTGAAGTGGAGCTGCATTATTTCACCTCTTTAATTAGTAACCCACAGGTGACATTTACGTTTGGAGAGTGATGATATTTTTGTGGAAAGTCACATAAAAGCCTAGTATTTATGGTCCCCATAAAATCATTGAACTTCATCTTGCTGCATAATGGCAATAGTTAGAAGCCTAATTACACTCTAAAACCTGCCTGGAGACTGGGCTACAGTCACTGAACACGTTCAATAGACCGTTATGCTGGTGAATTGTAGTCTGATTCTTGACATTGGCTGAAGTGATAAATTTTTCCTTCCAGGTCCTAACAGGGAATGGTTTTGGTAAGATTTCAAAATAATCTGAGAATGGAATGAACTGGGACCCTTTTAATCAGTTGTCATTTTAATCTTTTAATATTTTTTTCCTTTACCCAAAAGCAAGAAATAAAAACAAAATTCTAGAAGTGTGATAAAGGATCAGATTAAAACACATATCTTGCTCTTTTTCTGCTTCTGGCAAATCTCAATTTACCATTCTCCCTGAGAACTCACGGAATGAATGCAAGTGGTGTCCTTGACCTCTGTGGGCAAGAGACTGTAAACGAGAATTTGAATTTGCACTTTTAGATAGTTTGGTGCAGTTTATAACTTCTCTTTTTAACCTATCTGACCTATCTCCTCAACTCTTACAGATGAACTCTTACATACGTAATTTTTCTACTTGATTTCATGATTAATTAAATCTTGTCTTGTTCTTTGACATTGTATCTTTCTTTGAACTATATGTAGGAAAGTGCATATCCAAATTATGTGAGCATTTTCCCCTGTTATTTTATATAAATGTTATAACTCAGTGTCTTCCCTCTAAGTCATTTATTTAATAAATTGTTATCCTAATCAATCTGTTGACTACTGCTTTGTTAATTCCATTATCTTTTCTCTTTCTTCATTCTTTAGTTACCCCATTAAGATTTAAACTAGTACTATTTGTATGTTTGAAAGTACCAGGAATGAATGCTAAACATCTTGACTATGTCTACACTATGCTTCCAGGCTTGTTGTCCATACAACAGTGAATCTGTTCTTGAGGCTGACCAGAAGGTGTCCCTCAAAGCTGAAGCAGATATACCTGTGGGTCATTCCTACTAATTTTGGATCAGTACTTAAAGGTTCCTTGAAAAGAATACCTAGCATTAGATGAGCAAATCATTATACCCTTCCTACATAAACTTTTTTAGTGAGAAAATAAGATCCAGTATTGAGCTGCCACATATGTCTCGGACATATTTAGTAGTGATAACTTTTTGGATTTGTTGTGATGGATTTATTTGGAGATCCACATTTGTGTCTACAAACATATTACTTCCAGCTATTTCTGGACTCTGCCAGGTATAGTGCTTCAGCCCAGCAAAACCCTTTGTTGAACTGGAAGCTGTAATGCAGCTAAAGGCTGGCTGTGTAGGCTCTTCTTCAAACATGCATCATAGTGCCATAAACTATTGTTTTTAAATCCAAACCAGTTGTATTATGATGACTCGAGGATTCCAAATACAGCTGCACGCAGAGGTTTCTGTCACCACTGGGATCTTGTTGTACAACAGTAAATAAAAGCACAGGCCTATTTCCATAGCTTACAATTAAAAGGACATGAAAAAGATTGAGTGTGGAGGCAGGGATATAAAACATGATCAATTAGATAGGGAATCATAAGTAATTTAGACTATACTAAAGTTATTACTTGTCTATTTCAGAGGCATAAAATACATTGTGACCGTTCAAATGGCATTATAGAAATGGTGATGGACCGATTTACAATTGACAATGAAGGTACCTACACAGTACAGATTCAAGATGGAAAGGCCAAGAACCAGTCTTCATTAGTTCTCATTGGAGATGGTATGTTCAGTGAAACATTGAGACTTCCACTCTGATGAAGAAATGAACTTCAATTATTCTTTGAGTGGCTTTGTGACTAACTCATTTTTCATTCACCTCTTCTGAAATTTAGCATTCAAGGCAATATTGGCTGAGTCTGAGCTCCAGCGAAAGGAATTTCTCAGGAAGCAAGGTAAGACAGAGTAGACTGATGACTTTAGGCCCAGTATGCAGCTAATGATGCATCCCTGGTGAATCCCAGGTGCTTCCAACTTCCATTGATTTCATCAGAAGATGAGTATATTGCACAGTCTGAGGAGACACTGAACCCTTGGTGAATCTTATTTTCCAACATTGTAATATGATACATGCTAGTTGTGACAGAACTTTTACTAAGTAGAGAAATAAAGTGGGAGTCCTTACAAGAGGTTACCTTTGCTAAATATTCATGAGAAGTGTGCCTACTGTAGGCTCTGATCCAACAAAACATTTCAACGTGTTTAGTTTTAGGCATACAAATTGTCCCTTCAATATAATTGACAGAAGAGTAGGCAGCATAGTGTCAGACAAGGAAGATTAAAAAACTGATCCTGTGGTTTCTGTCTAGGCAAAATTCCAGGAACTAAATGTATGTTAGTTGCATAGTTACTATAGAGTTACAGAGTTTGTTATATACTTGTTATCGACATTGTTTGCAGCTGAAAGTAAGAATTACTATTGGACACCTAATTCAGAATTCTATCGCTGTGAAATCCTTAAAAAATTGAGTTTGAGCTCTAGTTTGTAATTTTCGCTTGGCAAGCACATAGCTTTTAGAATGAAAGTAGCAATAATAATTAAAAACATTTCTTCTAAATAGCTTAGGTAAGATTCTCTACATAAGCAATGTAATTCTGTTATTTTCTGGTTTTTTGGGGAAGGTTTTTAATAAATTTAGGAAAGAAATTATACCACTTACAGCATAAACAAACAAGATCTTTCAGTTCTCAATGATTTAAATGAAAATCTGAGACTTTGCTACCTCCCAGGTCTGGATATTGCAATTATGGGCCCTGATCCTGCAGACACTAAAACATGTAGATTTACTGACATGAGTAACCACAGTAACTTTAGAAAGGCTATGTACATCAGTAAATTTACTTAAGGATATATATATTTGCAGGATTGGAACCTCAGTGGGGAAAAGGAGTATTTCCTGTTCTGCTTGTAATGTTTAATAGATTTTTTAACTTTATATATTTTGGTCAAATAATGTCTGGCATGGGATTTTTGCTTTGAACATGTAATTGGGTGTTTGGGTATTTGTTTATTCTCCAGTTCCCTTTGCATTAAATACAGTGTTTGTACACTTGTTTGTAGCTACTCTGATTCTTTCCTATGCTTAGTTGGCAGTTGAGCAGAAACATGTTTAGTAAACTAATTTGTCTCACTGTTTTACATTTTGGAATATTACATGACATCATACAAACAGAGATGAGCCTCAGATTTCTAAGCTGTACTGATACCTGGGTCAATATTACAAAAGCTTATTGCAGGATTTTCCTTCTAGTGCATGGGTAGTTCAGGAGTTCCCTCTCATTGTTCTGGTGTAAGGATATTATAATATAATTTTCATCCTTTTTCTTTCTTTCACTGGATCTCTCTGATACTCTTAATTCTACAACATATGCTTTAAGACACTTCTGTTTCTTAGGTCCTCACTTCTCAGAGTTTTTGTATTGGGAAGTTACAGAGGAATGTGAAGTTTTACTTGCTTGTAAGGTGAGAAAATATATTTGAAATAATTTGTAAGAATGTGTTGATTAAAAGTTGGGGGAGGAAAATGTGAGGAAAGATTTTGATATTTTTAAAATTAAAAGTTTCATATGAAAACTTTTTTATTTAGAAAGATTTAAAATAAGAATTTCTGACTTACTACTCTTCAGCAGTAGTCTTCATTAAAAAAAAAAGGACATTTCTAAATGTGTTAGGTGATTTAATTCTTTATAATAATTGTGAGCCATAAAAATAATTTAAACAAAATATTAATCCCTTAACAGTCCGTCTTCCTTCCACAAAAGATAGCCAGGAAAAGCCAGAGTTCAAACTCTTTCCTCATAATTTTTTGATTTGGAGGTTCCTTTACCAAATCATCTGTTATTTAATCAACTGTAACCAAACATGCAACAAAGACTTCTAGAATTAAAGTTATAAAACATGATTTTTATTACATTTGGCTCATGACTTTTGAATCTTAACTAATGTTAATGTGGATGGAATTCAGAGTAACTTTATTAACTATTAACTAAAATTATGCTATTAACATCTTTATATGCCATTCTGAACTGATATATTTTTGGTTTTGTTGCTTTTCTAGAGTGACTAATTAGAGGTCTGAATAACCAAGTTAATTAACTTGAACAGGCATCAAACTCTTCTTCATTGCCTTTTCCTGTAATATGGACTCTTTTGTATTAATTTTCTCCACTTCTTTTGAATAAGTTTTCAGCTTTTAATTAGACTAACTTGAATCATTCATTATGAGCAATTTACATGCACATTTATGGGATTTTTTTCCTTCATTTTTTCTGCTCACTAATTAGAAGACCTTTCACCTCAACTTATTCCCAGCAGAAGTGACCTGGGTGGTGAAGCTGCCATTCTGTGTGCCCCCATTTTAGGGCTCAACACTCATAGCTAACATGGTACCTCTGCTGGTACTGAGCTGCATAGCTGGAGTACTTTATAATCTCGACATGCATTTGCCTCAGGCATGAACCCTGCTTATCCTTTCATTCACACAGGAAATTAACCGTTGCTGAACCAGTTATACTAGTGTTAATTCTCTACAAATTAATCTGAAATTATCCTTCTTTTCATTGACTGCCAAGCCTGTTTATACCACTGAAACTGTGAAAGGCTGAGTGACTGATTATATGCTTTTCACCAGTGTACTTTTTGTTCATAAGGTCAGAACACTTTCTGTAAATGAAATCTAGGATGTGAGCTGTTTGCACACTCATCATTTTAACTATGCCATTGACCTTATAATGTCTGTTACTGTTAGTATGTTCCTGGTCATTAGGTTCACATGGTACTGTTGTTTATGCCTCTTTAACTGATACTTATACATAGGAAGAGTTTGGATAAGAAAGCCTGGATTTGTCCTATGAACTTCAGGTACCTGACATTCAAGTTAGAAGTGTGGCTGCTATTGCTGTGGTAATAAAAACATCCAAGGAACAATCTGCCTCCCCAGGCCATATCAGAGCACTTGGCCTGCGTCTCTTCTAAGCTCTTTTTAGTGCTCCTGTGCAAAAATAGCTGTCATGGGTGGTTTTACCTCTTGAAAGAGCATGGGATAATGTGAAGGAAGTACCTGTAAGAGAGGGCTTTTTGCCTTGACTTTCTCAAAGGCCATGGCATGAAATAGGGGAGTTACGAAACCAGGCCAACTGGAAGCTTGTGTAGGGCAGAGGACTGACTGTACGATCCAGGCCCATAACAGTAATAAGGAACAAATATGGATTGTGTTATAGAAGAGTATATCAAAAGTAATACACGCTACCTCACGTACCACTTATGTTCAATGTGATTGGACCTGACTGACTTTTGATTGATTTAATATTTAATTCTGAAATAGCTGGGATTGATGACCTTGTTCTCGGTATTGTAGCCCCTGCACACCAGTGGGACATGTTTGTCCATCTGAATGATAATTTGATGGTGTTTGCTTTTTATTGTGTGTTTATTTTTCTTCATATGCCAGCATCTACTATCATTTTTCTTCAAGTACTTCTGGATTTCAGAATGTTCAGAAGCTACCTGCTCTTGCATAACTTTGACCCTTATTTGTATTGTGTCTGTTAAAAGCAAGATTTTTGGTGTGTGGCTAAACAGTGAAAAAGGTAACTTTTCATAGTAAATGTCAACACGAAATGACTTTGGCACTGCAAATTGCAGGTGTCTGAAACTCAGTCTATTTATTGTCAGATTGAGTGCTAACAGTCTTTGATGAAAAATTGTTGAAAAGCATTAAAGGCTTGTTCCTTCAGGCTTTGTTCAAATAAAATTGCCACTCATGTCATACAGCTACAGGAATAGCCACTTTGTAGTTACTGGTAAATGAAAAGTGCTGCTCACTTTTCTGAAGCAAGGCATTGCTTTGGGCCAGTTTGTGATCTCAAATACTCTGTCAGAGATCCATAGCAACCACACTGGCTATTAGGCAGCAATATATGTGATTAATTTCAGCAGGTTTTATAGAGATGTCCAGGAATCAGTATAGGAAGCCCTCCTATTTGTGTAGTCACCTAGATAAAGAGCTTTCATAGAGCTGTTCATCTATGGAATGACTTGTCTAATGTGAAAGGGTCAGAAATTGGCGCATGTTTTTTCCTCCAAGCAAGCCACTTGAAAACTATTGCAGATCTGTATTAACTTCTGGGCTGCCCTCTATCCATTTGTTCAGTTCTTTTTTAAGGAGGCTTTTTAAAGCAACTGCCTGGGGACTAAGAAATGTCCTGCCAACTCTGTTCTTCTACCAAAGCCACGCTCACTGGGAATTCAGGCTACGCAAGGAAATAGCATTGCATTTTTGTGATTTTTAGAAGAGTATGGGGCCAGTGATGTAAAATAAACCACAGTGTTTCTGAAAGAGAGAAAAATAAAATATATTGCCAGGGTTTCTAAAAAGAGCTGGGCTTTAAGCTTCTTTGAATTCACAGTTTGAGGTTGTTCATCCAGTGATATTTTAAGCGTCACCAATACACAATTTATATTTCAAAATTATAGCAGTACTTGAGGTATAGCTGTAGTCTATTTATGCATTGCGTAGATGAACTGCTGCTACTACAGCAAAATTCTGTCTTTCAAGCAGCTTCTCTGCATTTGCACTTTGTTGTTAAGCCCCCTTGTGTTGGGAGAGACTGCAATTTGTAGGATTCTGCAAGTCTTTGTGCTTCCCATAGGACACAATGTAGTAGAAAGTGCAGCTTGCAATTTTGAAGTCTCAAATGCTTTCAGAATAGTAATTTCAGTTGCTCTCAGCAGTTTGGCCCTGAAAGACATTGCTTAGGTAGCTGGGACGAATCTGCAAATTGACTGAAGACTCTCCAAGATAGGGCCTAAGTTCTGTGTTACAGCTCTCTGGAGACACGACAAACGC